CCGTTAAAAAACAACAATAACAATGACCTTATCTTTCTTTTTCAAGGTATTGTGCATACATTTGTGTGAAACTATTATATTCTATGCTTTCAAGTACATGAAAAAAGCTGATAAAGTCAAGCAAAACGTACTTCAGAGACATAGATATCTAGTAGTAGGCCCACTGGAACATTTTATAAATCGTGAAAAGATGACCAGAAATAACATAATTATCTTATGATCTTCACTTGCACTTGCAATTTTTTTGACAAATTATAGTCTACCTCATTATCTTTTTTTTCCTTCACATTTTTCTTCACTATTCATGACAACTGGCGAGTTTTTCAGTTATTATCAAGGAAGTGGATAGGCGGACCACAGGGTCTGTCTAGCCCCAAAAGGATAGGTGGACCCCGGGGTCTACCTAACAAAATGCTGTTTTAAGATGTGAACCCCGGAGTCAGCGTAGTGAAAAAAGTAGATCTAGGTTTAACTAAGGATCGGTGGACCCCGGGGTCAACATAGTGAAATAAGTAGATCTCAGTTTATTTTATAGTAGGACTGGCGGAGCCCGTGGTCAACGTAGTGAAATTATAAGTAGATCTGGGTTTAATTAGGATTGGTGGACCCCGGGGTCAACGTAGTGAAATCAGTAGATCTAGATCTAGGTTTAATTTTAAGGATTGGTGGACCCTGGAGTCAACGTAGTGAAATAGGTAGGTTTAAGGTGGACCCCAGGGTCTACCTAACGAAATACTAGTTAGGTTTTAGAATAGGTGGACCGTGCGGTCACCGTAGTAAAATAAGTAGGTTTAATCACTGTGTCCCGGGGGTCCACGAATCCTTAATTAAACCTTCTTATTCCTCTACGACTATGGTGACTCCGGGGTCCACCAATCCTTTTAAAATTAAGGGATCGTAAAATTAAACCTACTTATTTCACTACGATGACCCCGGGGTCTACCGATCTTTAAAGAAACCTACTTATTTCACTACGGTGACCCCGGGGTCCACTGATCTTTAAAGAAATCTACTTATTTCACTACAGTGACCCCGGGGTCCACCTGTCCTAAAACCTAGTATTTCGCTAGGTAGACCCCGGGCCCCGGGGTCCACCTTAAACCTGCTTATTTATCACTACGTTGACCCCGGGGTCCACCAATCCTTACTTAAACCAAACCTTATTTCACTACAGTGACTCAGGGGTTCACATCCTAGAACCTAGTATTTCGCTATGCAGACCCCAGAGTCCACCTATCCTCTACAGGACTATACTATTATCAATTTGCAATTTTCATTGATTAGCATTTTAAAAAAATAAATATTGAATCAGCGACTCACTGTCTAAAAAGTCCACTGCTAATGCTATTCTTATCAAAGAAAAGGCACAATTTGACTTTATGACATGTTAAAAAAAAGAGTTTTAAAAATAGGGAGTGTATGTATACAGACCCGGTAACCGGGAACAAAGTCACAAAGTATACAGACCCGGTAGGGTAACTCTTTCGTGATTTCGGAAAGTTTCAGCGCCCTCTTGGCTCAGGGTAGAACTAGGTTCTTCTAGATCTATGGCCTAGGTATAGATCTAGACAGACAGATAAATCATTGATCTAGTTTCGAGGCTAGCCTAGACCTAGATCTAAATCTAAATGAAGATTGCGGATGTATTTTCGATGAACGATCGTTTTTCCTCCGTTTTGGAGTTGGAGGAATCACAATTTGAAGAAAAGAACAATGTCATAATTTCAATCGAGCAGTCACCCTCTCTATTTCTCTCTCTCTCTCTCTCTCTCTCTCTCTCTCTCTCTCTCTCTCTCTCTCTCCTCTGTCGCTGTGTATCACTCGCATTCTCTTTTTCTTTGTTTGTCTCTGTCTTTCTTTCTCCCTACCTATTTCCCACTCTATCTTTCTCTCGTTCCCTCCTGCCAACTGGGGCATACATTTTGCTAGCACTTCCCCCTGCTCTCTCTCTCTCTCTCTCTCTCTCTCTCTCTCTCTCTCTCTCTCTCTCTCACACACACACACACATACACTCACACACTACTGGGTCTGGGCGCTGAAACTTCCCAAAATCACATAAGAGCTCCCTTACCGGGTCTGTATACTTCGCACAGAATTCTGTAGAATTCTGTGATACTTCGTGACTTTGTTCCCGGTTACCGGGTCTGTATACACTTCGTTAAAAATATCGAGAAAATAACATAAAATGATTACATAGATCTAGATCTATACGTATTTTATTATGTATATATACTTAAAAGTAAAAGACTGAGCAGGGGCTTACAATGTAAATTCTGTGCTCTACAAGTAGAGAAAGTCTAAAGTTTGCGCTAAACAGATTTTAGAAAAAAAAGTTGGATCTAATTATTCTAATAAAAGTAAAAGTGATTGTTATGGTGAGATTTGTTATTATTAACTCTGGAAATACAGATACTGTAGTTGCTGAATCTAAAATTAACTAGAACTGTGCAATTCGTTTTCTTTCAATTCCAAAGCCCAAAGGCATAGCAATGAGTTAGATCTAGATCTAGCAGTTGTAGGCTCCCTGGCTGCTTCTAGCATAGGCCTGCTACTACTGATTCTAGACAGGGAATCTAGATCTAGCTATCACCTGCACTATTAAAGTCAAATATGGTAAAATAAAAACAAAACTGTGAATCGCTTTGTCAGTCAGTACATCCCAATTGTCACAGCCGCACGTATTAATAGTTGAATAATTATACCGAAGCAACACGTTATCACAGTGTGCAAGGGAGCGCGGGGTGCCCGGTCGATTCGGTTTTGTAGATCTATGCATTTTTTACGGAAAGCCCTATAACTAGATCTATTAGTGTTGTGAAAACTTCAAACTCTACAGCTAAGGCGTCAAAAGATGTTGGAAAATAATAATACTAATACGTCCTGAAGTTTCATTATTTATACAAAATAACACAGCCAGTAGTTTTTATTTCATCGAGTTATAAAAATGGCCTTGTAACTTGTTTTCAGAGAAGCAAATTTTAATAGATCTAGTTCCAGTTCTACCGAATCGATTTTCACGCAAATTCAACCATTTTGATGACCTTTCTTTTACTTTTAAAAAGATATAGGCCTGTCGGATGTGGCAGTGCGATTAACACTAAGTTGTTTAGACCCATCAAAACACGAGGCTTCGTGGTCGATCACAAAGGTCTACGGGGCTTATCGAGGCCGATTCGCCCTGCCGCGTGCACGTAAACTGCCTACTAGATCTAGATAGAATCTACTACCAAAGATTCTCTACACGATCTTTGCTACTACTACTACTGCTACTATATATCTACATGTACTACTACGAGATAGTACGAGAGATGTACTACTACGAGACAGTACGAGAGAGTGCCACCCAGGCAAAGATAGTGTAACTTTGACTCAGCCACGTTGTGTACACACTTTTTATACCCCAAATTTGACCCGGAAGTCCATTCGGAGGATTTGACCTTTTCACTTGACCAAAGTGTGCCAAAATGGTAGCCTAGATTTTGCCCCTCCATGAAGGAAAAATCTGACCCTCATTCAAACCATTGGGATTGAGCGAAATTTTGCGTATCGTACTTTGTTCTTATAATATTCATTATGATATAATATATAAGTT